CCAAATGACAACTTTTTCAAGCGTCTAGGAGATTACATTCTGACGTTATTCGTTTAATTACGAGCGGACTTTATCTTAATGAAACGTTTGCCCCGGTGGCGCGCAGTCATCAAGAAATCGCACGTTAAAAATCGCCGAGCAATGTCAACTCTCTTCGGCCGATAATATTTTTCGGAGCGTGCGAGAGATTTGAAAAATGCAGTGTGATATTCAGAATATCAGGAGGTCATCGTGCGAGTCGCGCTATCACTTTGACCTCTCGAAAGTTTAACTGGCGGAATGTTCGCGTTCGCCTTCGTTCGTTCGCTTGCCCTCTCGTGAACATCGACTTACCTCTTTACCGTTTAAGATGAATGTTAAAACTGCCGGAGGGTAGCTCAAGCCCGACGTGCATTCCGCTTCGAGGATCTCTCCGACCTCGTAAGAAGGTCGCACCCCTTCGAGTGCTGGGGCAGCCTTGGGTGGTACAGCCACGCTCATATTCGCTTCGTTGTAGGCAGTGAGAAAGCTCGGAGCCTCAGACGACACCTCGCAGCCGTAGGTGCCTGCCAAGTTGACCTCACCTGCGACATGAAATCAGCAAAAACGGGCAGAAATAATCTCTTCTTGTATTTTTCGCGTATATTTCGACGGTGACGCGTGCGAATCTTGATGAGCGACGGTGAAACGCAATTATCTCCCCGAGAACCGAATCATCCATATTGATCATTCGAATTTAACTCCGACCTTAATATTACGACCAGAATTTTCCACGCAAATTGAAAGTACATGCGCTTTCCTCCACTTTCTCTCTCCTCTCTCTCTCTCTCTCTCTCTCTCTCTCTCTCTCTCTCTCTCTCTTTCTCGCATGCGTGCACGCTCGCGTATGAGAGATAGGGGGACGAAGAGAGAGAGAGAGAGAGAGAGAGAGAGAGAGAGAGAGAAAGAGAAATTCGTTTTTAATACGAGAGGTACACGCGAGGACGCTCAGTAATTCGCGTTTGCAAAATTGACGTCGCACCTCTTCGGCCGTTGTATGCTTGACCCAGAAGTGTCACTTGTTTGTTGTCACTCTGCTTGACGTCGACGAATACGCCTTTCACATGGTAGTCCCTCCCCGCCGGTGTCGATCCCGGCATGAATCTGAAGAATTCGTCGCCGTCTTTGTACCACTTGACAGAATACAGCTCGTCGCCGTGCAGATCGTACAGGCATTTTAACGACACTTTCTCCCATCTCGGGTCGACGATGCTGGGTACTTCTAGTTTCAGTAGCTGTAGCGCCGCAGCTGTATCACAAGAAAAGCTTTATTATTTTGCGCGTCTAAAGACACACTTATCACGCTTATCGTACGTTTTTTAAGTAGCAACGAACTTACTTGAACTGTACAAATTTCTGTGAAATGGATGCATATACGAGTACCATTGAAAACATTGTACCATTTCGGGGAATTTCGGCAATTGGTTAAAATACCAAAATCGTGAGGTAATCTTTTTCCTCTCTTTCTTTTCGCTGAATTTTCATTTGAGAGAGGGAGAGAGTGCGGGTAAAACTGGGGTTTTGCATTTATCGGTCCCAATGCACGTTGCTTATTCATATCATCAATCAGAACAAGCGACCGCGATTTCGGGACAATTTGAGCAACTACACCGGCCGGCCGACAATTATAAAAACTGACGCCGAAAATTCGGAACCGGATTCCCGAAAAACACGGATTATTAGCGAGAAATTTTGACCGTGCACGATGGAGATCCCGGCGGGAAATGGCTGCGCGATCGTTGACGTGCGCGCATTAATTTATTTATCGTGCATCCGCAGGACGATCGGGACAAATACGGTGGTAATTAAAAATATTCGATCAACCGGACGCAATCGAGTGATCCAAAGCGGGTGGAAATTTAAAGTGGCTGCGAGAGCCAATTATGATCGCGCGATACCCCTTCAGAGAATGACGATAAAAAATTCACGCGTTGCCTACCCTTTTCGCGGCGAAAACAGCTGTAAAATTCATGAAAAGTTTGCAGAGAATTGTGCGAGTAAATTAAATAACAAGCAGACGCGACGGTAATAATATAACAAATTTTCATGTAATCCGCGAGTGGATATGACGAGCGAAAAAGCTATACCGAGAATCGATTTCCCCTAAAATCCAATTCGCCAAGTATCTTTACCGCGTACGTTATTTCCCGAATTAGCAACGTATTCTTTATTTCAGCTCGTCATCTCACGTTGCTGACATATTTCAATTTCGTTTGCGTCGTGTCTTCGATCATTTTGGCGGAAGTTACTCCGAGATGTTATCCCCCGTCGGATAAAGAACTATTCGAGAATATGAAAGTGTACGATCTCGGGTCGCTTCCCTTTTTTCCAATCTCCTTCGTACGGTCGGCGCAATTAAAAATTAACCGGTCGACACCGGTGGGACGATATTGGAAATTGGACCTTGTCAAGGCAATCACCGTGGCCTGTCACTAGGAGGGCTACCTTCGTTATGAATCACCGATATATTATTTAGCGACATATACCCGCGCTCGTCCTGAGTATCTGAGTATTGCTGATTTTATATTTAACATTATTTCGATATGTTTTCCCGAGTGTATAACGCGCGTCGTGGTTTTGCGATTGATGTCGTGAAATATACAAGTCCGTTCCATTTAGGTTTCCGCCGATACGTACACTTTCATCCGGAGGTAACGTGCGTTCTGCGTGCCGCAAATGTTTGAGAACAATTACAAGAATAAAATTGGACGGCGCGCGGTGATCTCTTTTTACTCACGTAACATTCCCGTACGAGCGCGCGTGTGTGCGTACACACAGACACGAGGCGCATTCGCACGTATCTCTCGCAGCGTTTATTAATTTATTTCGAATAATCTGTTTCGCCAACACATTCGATTTTACAATGCGTCGTTACATTTTATATTGCTTTAAACATTTAAACATTTTTGCGTATTTTTCTCCTTTTTTTTTCTTTTTTTATTATTATTAAGCAAGCTAGTCCGCAAAACCAATATATCTGAACTGAAAGCTTGATATTCAATTGATATTTTACCTTCGCTCGTCTCGCCATGTGATGCGTATAATCATTTCGCTGTGTCTTGACGTTCACCGTTGAATTATTTTTATCGCGCGCTAGTTTGATAGTTTTTTACTTATATACACACGTGCGTAATGAAAGCTCGCCTGCCTCTCCTGCCATTCACTCTGCCTCTGTAAGCGCAACCGTTTTTCCTTTTCGACAAAAGAGAAAGAGAGAGAGAGAGAGAGAGAGAGAGAGAGAGAGAGAGGGAGAGAGAGAGAGAGGTCTCTCCCTCTCTTGCCTGGTTAGCGAGTGGTTTCACGGCGGTTTGACCATTCGCTCCCGCGGAACAATAACGAGTCTTTTTAAATAATTCGTCAGCCTTTCAGGGCTTTGTGTTGCAGTAAGCAGTAGTTAACCAGCAGCACAACAGAACCACGCGGACCCCTTTGACCCTGTCCCGCGAGTCCGCAGGACATGCCGTGCACGGGTTAGTTTCGCAGTTGAAACTTTCTCCGGGATGAAACCGCGACGCGCCTTCTTTCGCGCTAACGTTCGCGCGTGCCTCTGATACGAAATATCGCGCCTCGCACATTGAATAAAGTACGTATTGGGATACGAATGGCCCCGACGTGCTTTGCATTCCGAGGACATAAATACTGTACCGGCGGTGTGTGTTGATCCGTGAATATATGTACGCCGGCGCGTAAAAGAGTACGTGAGCGATAAGCGAGAGTCGAAGTAAACGTAACACGATCGACCTCGACGGATCTTTCTTTCCCTCTGTCTTTCTTCTCTTCCCTCCTTTCATCGCCCCCCCCATCCCTCGCCCCTCCACCCGCTTTCTCTCTCTGAATAGAAATTTTATTCGTCCTACAGGTCAGTTTCTCGGAGGCACTTCGATTATCATTTGTGTGTGCGGATGCAAGTTGAAATCTCAATTGCATTCGCCGATTTCGGCTAAGATGACTCTCTCTCTCTCTCTCTCTCTCTCTCTCTTTCTGCGATTATGCGTTACAGATGGCACGGTGACTCGTACACGGTGAAATACAGCCGATCGCTAATCTCAACGTTAGCCGACGCGGATTGCCGCTGGAAGCCCGCCAAGTTCTCATGGCCGAGGAACGAGCCGCGTATCCTCCGGCGAAGGCGACGCACGCAACGTTACTTCACACACATATTGCGACGCGACGGCGCGATATCGTGGGGCGGCGACGGTCCGTGAGTTTCCCTTTCCTCCGAAGCTTCTCCGGCTCGCGCGCTGGCCCGGGTGGTTGGCTGCTGTGCTTGCTCTCGCGAGCTAATTAAGCCGGCAATTAGTTTAATAATTAGCGAATTAATTAATATGCCAGGCGCGCGCGCGCGAGCGACAGGCCGGCCAGCACGCGTCGCGGCTCAAAGACAACGGCTGGAGCGGGGTCGACGCGCCATCGAAGGCCGTTCGTCGGTTCGTTCCTTGATTAAAGACTCCCACGCGTATCAGGGAATCCCGAAGGATCAGAGCGGCGGGATTCCTTTGAAGTTCGAGGATTGATTCGCCCAGTCGCGGGCACGGCGAGCCGAGCAGGATACGGGGCTTCCTTATTCGCTGCCACCGCTGCTGCTGATCAAATGCAAAGCCGATACTTTGAATTTTATTCCGCGCCGCGTATCTGTCGAGGGTCTAATTTCACCCTCTCCCTTCCCCCTCCTCTCTTTCTATTTCTTTTTCCCTTCCTCGCCCTTTCTTTTCTTCTTGAAGCAACTCGACCGCCAACAGGCGCGCGATTATTCCGGATAAATTATTTCACCGTCTCTCATAGGCGGATTATATTTTTCTTCCGAGCAACGCGGCGATTCTGCACGTCGTACGATCTTCCTTCTACGCGCGCGTCTCGCGGAAATTTCACGCGAGAACAGCAACTTTTCGAGGATAAGTCTCTTGATTCGCTTCGGAGGATGAACGAACACTTTCAGGGTGACTTTCATCTCCCGTACGATCAGTCAATTTTTCGCGTTCATCCCGTTCCTCCTTTTACGCCGTGCGAATTTATTTAATAAAAATTGACTCTATTGTTTGGCACAATGCGCCGCGGCTTTCGAGAGCCCGTGAAAGCCGGGTGACGGGCTTCGTGCGTCGGTGACGTATTTATTATGAATAATTTATGATTCGGAACGACATCTATTTTCCATGTGATATTATTTCCTAGTATGTACGCCTTCTCGCGCGCCCGGCAGCTGCGAGCTTACAATTCAGCAGGCTTACGGGCGCAACAGCTTCTGGTGCATACAACGCGGCCAAGTTTTTTCCTTATTCATTGCACGGTCGATCAAATGCAAAACCGATACCTCAGGTTTGATTCCGCGCGCTTTGCATCGCACCGAGGAGGAGGAAAAAAAAAAACTTTCGACAATTTATCGCCCCGCATTCCCCCGCTCGTCCCGCGCGAGTGTAACGGGGCGAAAATCGTATCTGTACTTTAACACTTTGGCGTCGTCGACTCGACTCTCAGCAGCATTCTTACAGTACAGTAAGTATTTCAAACAACGACGGATGAATGGGAGGGATGGGGAAAGGGGAGAGAAGACGGAGGTCACCTCGGAAGAGTCCGAGGAGGAGCATGGGGGGTGGGAGATACCAAGGAGATATTTCTCCTAATAATCGAAGTCGCGCGCACGATTTGCGCGCAACATCGATAACATCGCGAAAGTATCGAGCGGCCCAAAAAATAAATAACCCTCCGTCGCAATAACCGGCGCGTTAGTCACGCCGGCCGCGTTATTGCTTACCCTTTTTTTGGTTTTTGTTCTTTTCCCCAGTGCGGAACACCCGCCCGCCCGCCCTCTCGTCTACGTATCTACATGTCGCGAGCAACAGTTTCGGGCGGGCAAAAGGGAGGGCCCATAAGCTTTCCGGTTTTCGCGCGAATCGCGCAGCAAACGCGACAAACTATCGCACCCTCCCGCGGCTGCAGCAGCGCTCGGCTGCCATTAATCGCGTTATTTGCCCGCTAATTAAGCGCGCGCGATAAATTTGGCGGCCAGCGGCGCGTTTATTTGTTCATACGCCCCACGTCGACACGTCGATACGTTTTGCCCTCGACTCCCGATTTTCTTTCCTCTCTTTTTTTCTCTCTCTCTCTCTCTCTCTCTCTCTCCTTCGCCGTCCGTACAGCAGAGAGCGACAATGAATGGCTAAGCTGAACGTGTTTGCACTGCCTCTCAATTCTCTGTTCTTGTCCTCCCCCCTCTCTCTCTATCTCTGTGCCTCTGTTTCTCCCCCTGTCTTT